CTAGTGGGGAAAACTTTATTTTATCTAGTGGGGAAAACTTTATTTTAGAACTCGCTGTGGAGGCTCATTTCTGTTGGTGTTTTATTTTGAAAGATTTTAATGTTTGACAGCTGAGGATCGTGTTTGATGCAGGTTTTTAGAGAAACCTTTGAGCTGCTCAACAGTCTGTAAACCCGAGTCTGAAGACCTGAATCTGTAAACCCGAGTCTGAAGACCTGAATCTGTAAGTCCATGTCTAAAGACCTGAATCTGTAAACCCGAGTCTGAAGTCCTCAAATCTGTAAGTCCATGTCTAAAGACCTGAATCTGGTAAACACAAGTCTCTAAACAAAAATCTTTAAACACGAGTCTATAAACACGAGTCAGTAAACACGAGTCTGTAAACAAGTCTTTAAACACGAGTCCGTAAACACGAGTCTGTAAACACAAGTCTATAAACACGAGTCTGTAAACAAATCTTTAAACACGAGTCTGTAAACACAAATCTTTAAACACGAGTCTATAAACACAAGTCTATAAACACGAGTCTGTAAACAAATCTATAAACACGAGTCCGTAAACACGAGTCTGTAAACACGAGTCCGTAAACACGAGTCCGTAAACACGAGTCTTTAAACACGAGTCTTTGAACACGAGTCTCTGAACACGAGTCTGCAAACTAATTGATAAATAATGTTAATAAATGTTGATATTCAGATAAATGTGAACTTGTTATTTTATACTTGAATGTTTCTGTTCCGTTCTCTGACTCGACTTCTGTTGTGACCTGGAGCTTTTTAAATAAACTGAATTGAACTAATCGGTGAATCAGATCTGCGTTTTCTCGTTCGGCTCGTCTGATTCTTTTGACGAGTTGATCAAAAGAATCATTGAATGACGTAAACACTCGCTGTCTTTAGATCTTTCTAACGTTCCGGTCGGTCCTGGTCTGTGACTTTGTTCGGGTCGGTTGTTCTGGACCTGGGGACCTCTCCGGACCTCCTGGTCGTGCTGATGGATCAGTTTTGCCTCCGGCTGCTCGTTTCCTCGCTGACAAACAGGAAGTCGTGTTTCTGCAGACGGACGAGTCGCTGCTCCAGTTCTTCTGTTCGTCTGCAGGTCTCAAGTTTTCTTGTGTCGTTCAGGAACGGCTGAAAGTTCAGGTCTTTATTTCACAACAACCGTTTAAATTTGTTCCGTCAGAAACTGGGTCAGGTTGACCTTCATCGTCACGAAGGTCGTCTGACTCAAATATAAACTTTATTTTATTTACGTCTGGAAGAATCTCGGCGTGGAAAAGTGACTTTTAGATTTTTAATCGTCGTTTTAAAGTTGCCTTTCAGAAAAAGTTTTTTATTTTTAATTAAAATTTATTACCTGAAATAAAATAAAATGAGAGTAAATGTGAACAACATGAACTTTTTAATGAAAAGCTTTTTTGAAATTTAAAACTCAACTCGGTGGAGACCGAAGTGGATCGGTTCTGTTGGACCAGCAACGTTCTCCAGGTTCTGCTCTGAAGGTCGGACCTTCTGGACGTCAGAGTCCGACAGGAAACTTCACGTTGACTGAAGAGCTGGAAGACGATGACTCGTTTGTTTGTTGATTTGTTTTGTTTTGTTGACGTCTTCAATCATAAACATTTAGACATAAATAAATACAGATTTATACTTTTAATCATCTTTAAAAACTCAGAAGATGAAAACAAGCACCTGCAAGATGTTTAACTTTTATTCTTGTTGTTTTGGTTTTAATCTTTGTTTGTTTTTATTTAGTTGTGTATTTATTTGTTTGCTAATTTAGTTATGTTGTTTGTTTATTTATTCATTTTAGTTAGTTATGTATTGTTGATTTATTTTATTTAGTTATGTATTTGTTTGTTTTAGTTATAAGTATTTGTTTATTTTTAATGTATTTATTTGTTTAGTTAGTTTGTTGTTTGTTTACTAGTTAGTTCTGGTCTTCAGATTTGGTTCTGACCCACATCGGTCCATCCTTAATGTAAAGTTTTATGTTCCTGTTCTTCCACGTGTTTGAGTTTGTTCTTGGTGTCTTTAATCTGCTGCACAAACATTCAGATGTTTGTTTGTTTGTTTGTTTGTTTGTTTAGTCTCTGCCAGCCAGCCTTCCTGCTGTGGACATCAGCACCAAGTCAAACGGACCCAAACAGGACTCTCTGTTTGACGACGACACCGAGGATCTGTTCGCAGGTTCGAACAGTCGCAAACGTTTACTGTTTGTTTACTGTTTGTTTACTGTTTGTTTACTTTTGTTTACATCGTTGTTTCTCCTCTCAGGATAAACATTTGAGTTTGATTCTTCGGTAGATTCTGGAAACAGAAAACCTGTTGGTACTGCCCCGAACGATCACAGAAACAGGATAGATGATAAAAACTATCTTTAATAATATTATAGTTATTATATTTTCTGCTTCAAAGTTCAATTTGCAGCTTGTTGGGTGCAAAAATCAGCATTTTGAACTAAGTGAACCCTTTTTAATAATAATAATAATAATAATAATAGTTATTATTATTATTATTGTTATTATTATTATTATTTATTCTGAAGTTGAGCAGCTCTGGTTGTTGCCTCAGTCTTCACTGAAACTACGGAGGCCCTGAAAGGACATTCTAACTTCTGGACAAGATTAATAGAAATCCCCTCACGTCCGAGTCTGTTGGAATAATGTTGTTGTTTTTGTTTGTTTGTTTGTTTGTTTGTTTAGAGGCCACAGAGGAGGTGTCGTTGGACAGTCCTGAGAGAGACGTCCTGCTGTCTGACGGCCCGTCCCCCGCCATCACCCCCATCACTCCTCCCATCTCCGTCATCACGCCTCGCATCGGCCACGCCCACGACGACATGTTCACACACTCCTCGTTTGATGAGGTAACTGCACACACACACACACACACACACACGTGCACACACACACACACACGTGCACACACAGCTTCATTTGAAGCACGAGCCGAGGGATGAATCAGTTTTGTGTTTCCTGCAGATCGAGGAGGAGGAAGCGGGCAACTCCTTGGACATTCACATATCCGTGTCCGACCCGGAGAAAGTGGGTGAGTCCTCCATGACGGGGCGCGTCAGCGGTCCTTGAAAATCCTCAAGAGTCCTGGAGCTTTAAGAAACTGAGCCCAGACCCCGCCAGCCCCTCGGCTGCCTTCTCCTCCCTGAGAAGAGCAGACGTGCTGGAAGATGAAGTTCCCGTGAGGCCTTTCTCCCGAAGCCGACAGTTCGACTCCCTGTCAGAGCAGTTGATTGTTGGTGGCGCCCCCTGCAGGCTCCAGCTGTCGTTACAGCCCGTCCAAGTTGACGAGTGAAACGTCGACTTTTAAAACCCGAAGACGTTTCCGTTTGTTGATGGTGCAGCTTCACTGCAGCTCCTCCCTCAGTGTGCACGTCGAGGACGACGCTCGGCTACTACCACGCCGAGTGTTAGCTCAATATCTGCAAAAGTGTTTGAGTTTAGAGCATTTAGGTGTTTCGAGTTGAATCCTTCAGGTGTAACTGAGCAGGTGTGTGTTTGAAAGCAGCGTATCATTAAAAGTCCTTCTGTTCGCTCCAGGTGACGGGATGAACGCGTACATGGCCTACAAAGTGACGACGAAGGTCAGACTCAACACCAAACATCACTATCACTTATTTATTGGTTATCAGTTATTGGTCAGTTTTTATTGGACTCGGTCTAAAGCCTGGTTTTAAACGTTCCTTCTCACGGAGTTAACAAAAGTCCAAGTGGCTGAAAACAAAATATATTTTTTAATTTAATCTGCATCTTGTTGAGTTTCTCTCCAGACAGATGTTTAGGTTTAACGTCGTTACTGTTCTGAGTCCTCGCTTTCTGCCCACTCATGTCTGTCTGATGATGTTCTGTGAGATTTCGACGTGACGTTCTCACAGAACCAGCGGTTCGTTGCTGGAACTCGTGTAACTCTCCTGTCGCTCTGTGTCCCTCTCAGACCTCCATGTCTCTGTTCAGGCAGAAGGATTTCTCCGTTAAAAGGCGTTTCAGTGATTTTCTGGGTCTGCACAGCAAACTGGCCTCCAAGTACCTGCACGTCGGCTACATCGTCCCCCCTGCTCCGGAGAAAAGCATTGTGGGTAAGAAAACGTGTGTGAGGAACAGAGCTCATTAAGAAACTTCAAGCAGAGTTTTGTCATTTATCTCTTTTTATGTTCAGCTGAATGTTTTTGAACAGGCAGATGTTTGGACGGCTGTTTTTCTCCTGGATTATTTGAAGTTTTGATCCCGATCACCACCAGAACCTGTAAAAACTTGTCTGTTTTGACCCGAGACAGAGCAGCTGACATGCTCAGGAGGAGTTTTCTGAAAATAATTACGAAGAAAACAACAACAAAGTCCGTCTTATTGTGTCAAACTGGTTTAATGAGGCGTCGTTTGGCTGTACAGACGTCCCTCGTTTATCGCCGGGGATCCGTACCCTGAAGACCCGCGTAAAGTGAAAAACCACGAAGTAGTAATAGTAGTACAAGTAGTAGTTTATTTTAGTGTATATATATATATATAAGGAATTATAAACCCTTTCTACACTCTTGCGATATTCTACACAATGTTTCTAAACTCTAAAGCCTCTAAAAGACACAGAACATCATGATTTCAGCTCCCTGCCTCCGCTGCTCTCAACCACCTGCAAGCGTTTTTGGCCACGCCCACTTCTCCGCTCTACACGGTGAACAGCTGATCAGCTGCAGCAGGAAGTTTTTCCTGCAGTATGGGCTGCACAGAGGTGCAGCAGGTGCTAAATAATTAAAAATAATTTGTTTAAAATAAAAAATCCATGCCAGTCGTGCAGCTCATCCACCAGTCAGCCAGTTGTGTGTCGTGTCCACTCTTATTTTGAAAAACCGCGATAAACGAACCGCGAAGTAGCGAGGGAGTGCTGTACATAAAAATTCAGCAAGAAGAAACCAGATGTACCGTTGATCTGTTATAATACAAATGAACTCGTTCTCCTCCACGTTCTGCAGGCATGACGAAGGTGAAGGTGGGGAAGGAGGACCAGTCGTCGAACGAGTTCGTGGAGAAGAGGAGGTCCGCTCTGGAGAGGTACGATGAAGAGGAGGTGAACCTGAACACAGCTGGAGTTTGTTCAACTGCCACACGTCCTCCGATCAGGTGTTAAATCTTACCTGTGGTTAAACCAGAGCCAGAACATTACGACCAGCTCAGTTAAAAGCTTCGAGTCGGCCTGAAGCTAACAGCGTTAGCGTCAATGAGCCGAACAGGGAAGTAACTTTAGCTGCTGCCGAGTTAAATCACCCGCCTCCTCCTGAGTTTTAACTGAGATCATCCGCTGAGGAGAAACGATGGAGGTGTGACCGTTCAGGTCAAACCTTTTACATCTGTCAGCTGTGATGTCAGTATGAGAGAACGTCTTCTGACAGGAGGGGGCGGGGCCGACAGGTGGGGGCGGGGCTAACGGCACCACTGGGAGTTTACAAGCAGAGCCTTGGCTCGCCCAGTGACGTCGATCCACGGACCAGTCCACGGCTGAGGCGGGTCCAGAAACCGATCAGGACCAGGGAATGGAGACAGAGTTGGTCGATGCGATTAAAGTCCCGTCGGTGGAGAAGCGGCTTTAGAAAGAACTCAGAACCGTTCTGAAGGTTTGGAGTCCTTCAGTGACTGCTTTCAGCGTTTGTTTGCTCCTAAAAGGTTGTTTGAGCCGAAAATTGTAAAAATAAATAATTTTACACAAACATGAGGAGAAAGAAGTTGTTCTATAATATTGACCCAAACAGCTGCGCTGGTTGGACCAGAACCTGGCCTTTAGACCAGGACCTGGTCCTTGTTAGGAGTCCAGCAGTCTGATGAGCACTTGTTCCTCTTTCAGGTATCTGATGAGGACGGTGAAGCATCCCATCCTGCTGAAGGACCCGGACGTCCTTCAGTTCCTGGAGAGCTCAGAGGTAAAGTGTCCGTCTCCTCCGGCTGCTCGTTAGCGTCTCGCCTCTGCTCGTTGTCCCGACGTCCTCCTGAGTTCTGCTGCGTTTCAACGTGAAGTGAAACGTCTGCTGCGTTGTCCACAAACTGCTTCAACGCTTCGCTGCAGGAACTCTGACGTTCTGATCTGGACTTCCAACAGAACCTTTACTCACCACAAACTGAAACACAACGACCTCCAGCAGGTCCAAACGAGCATCGTCCCCTGATGTCCCCTTCAGGTGTCCCCTTCATGTGTCCAGAACGTCCCCTTCATGTGTCCAGAACGACCCCTTCATGTGTCCAGAACGTCCCCTTCATGTGTCCAGAACGACCCCTTCATGTGTCCAGAACGTCCCCTTCA